TTTCTTCCAGATTGTCGAATTGGTTGGCATATAGCTTTTCATAGTATTCTCTTATAATCCTTTGTATTTCTGAGGTGTCTGTTGTAATTTCTCCTCTTTCATTTCTGATTTTATTTATTTGAGCCCTCTCTCTTTTTTTCTTGGTGAATCTAGCTAAAGGTTTGTCAATTTTGTTTATCTTTTCAAAGAACCAGTTCTTGGTTTCATTGATTTTTTTCCCATCATTTTTTAGTCTCTATTTCATTTATTTCTACTCTGATTTTTATTTCCCTCCTTCCACTGATTTTGGGGTTTGTTTGTTCTTCTTTTTCCAGTTCCTTTAGGTGCATTGTTAGATTGTTTATTTGGGACTTTTCTTTCTTGTTGAAATAGGCCTGTATTTCTATAAACTTCCCTCTTAGAACCACTTTTGCTGTATCCCATAAATTTTGGCATGTCACATGTTCATTTTCATTTGTCTCCAGGCATTTTTTGATTTCTTCATTGACCCAGTCATTGCTCAGTAGCATTTTGTTTAATCTCCACATATTTGTGGCTTTTCTGATTTTCTTCCTATAGCTGATTTCTAGTTTCATACCATTGTGGTCAGAAAAGATGCTTGGTATTATTTCAATCTTCTTAAATTTATGGAAACTTGTTTTGTGGCCCAATATGTAATCAATCCCGGAGAATGTCCCATGTGCATTTGAAAAGAATGTGTATTCTGTGGTTTTTGGATGGAATGTTCTGTATATATCTACTAAGTCCGTCTGTTCTAGTGTGTCATTTAAGGCCAATGTTTCCTTATTGATCTTCTGTTTGGATGGTCTATCTGTTGGTGTAAGTAGGGTGTTAAAGTCCCCTACTATTATTGTGTTACTGTCTATTTCTCTTTTTCTATCTGTTAATAATTGCTTTATATATTTAGGTGCTCCTGCATTGGGTGCATAGATATTTACAACTGTTATGTCCTCTTATTGGATTGTTCCCTTGATCATTATGTAATGCCCTTCTATGTCTCTTTTTACAGTTTTTGTTTTAAAGTCTATTTTGTCTGATATGAGTATTGCTACCTCAGCTTTCTTTTCATTGCCATTAGTGTGGAGTATCTTTTTCCATCCCTTTACTTTCAGTTTGTGAGTGTATTTAGGTCTGAAGTGTGTCTCTTGTATGCAGCATATATATGGGTCTTGTTTTTTTATCCAATCAGCCACCCTATGCCTTTTAATTTGAGCATTTAATCCATTGATATTTAAAGTAGCTATTGATAAGAATGTACTTACTGCCATTTTTTAACTTTTTTTCTTGGTGTTTTAGTAGTTCTTCTGTATTCCTTTCTTCTTCTCTTGCTCTCTTTCCCTGTGGTTTGATGGCTTTCTTTAGTATTGCATTTGGGTTCCTTTCTCTTAGTTTTTGTGTATTTATTATAGGTTTCTGGTTTGCGATTACCATGGGGTTCATATAGAGCAACCTAAATATATAGCAATCTACATTAAGTTGATAGTCTTTTTAGTTTGACCTCTGTCTGAAAGCTCTACTCTTTAACTCCCCTCCTCCTACAGTTTATGTTTTGATATCATATTTAACTGCTTTTTTGTGCATTTGTATCCATTACCCTCCTATCATGGAAATAGATAATTTTTTCTATTTGTGGTCTTCTCTTTTCCCCTTCAATAAGTCTCCTTAGCATTTCTTGTTGTATTGGTTTCTTGGTGACAAACTCCTTTAATTTTTGCTTGTCTGGGAAACTTTTTATCTGTCCTTCCATTTTGAATGATTACTTTGCTGGGTAGAGTATTCTTGGCTGTAGGTTTTTTCCTTTTAGCAGTTTCAGTATATCTTGCCACTTTCTTCTAGCCTGTAAGGTTTCTGCTGAGAAGTCAGCTGATAGCCTTATGGGGTTTCCTTTGTATGTAACTTGTCTTTCTCTTGTGGCTTTTAGGATTCTCTCTTTATCTTTAATTCTGGACATTCTAATTATGATATGTCTTGGTGTGGGCCTCTTTGGGTTCACCTTGTTTGGTGCTCTCTGTGCTTCCTGTACCTGGATGTCTGTTTTCTTCCTTAGGTTAGGGAAGTTTTCATCTCTTATTTCTTCAAATAGTTTCTCTGCCCCTTAGTCTCACTCTTCTCCTTCTGGCACACCTATAACATGGATGTTAGAGCACTTGATGTTTTCCCAGAGGTCCCTTACACTGTCCTCACTCTTTTTAATTATTTTCTCTTTTATCTGTTCAGCTTGGGTGATGTCTTCTGGTCTTTCATCCAGCTCGCAGATCCATTCTTTTGTATCCTCTACTCTGCTTTTGAGTCCCTCTAGTGAATTTTTCATTTCCAGTATTGTATTCTTCATTTCTGATTGGTTCTTTTTTATACCTTCTGTATCTTTGTTGACATTCTCACTGAGTTCATCTATTCTTCTCCAAAGATCAGTGAGCATCCTTAACACTGTTTGAACTCCCTGTTGGGTAGGTTGCTCATTTCTGTTTCACTTGTTTCCTTTTCTGGGGTTTTGTCCTGTTCCCTTACTTGGAATGTATTCCTTTGCCTCCTCATTTTGCCTCTTTCCCTGTGCTTGTGTCTATGTATTAGGTAGGTCAGCTACATCTCCTGCTCTCGGAGAGGTGACCTTATATAAGTGATACCTTATGAAGCCCAGCAGTGTGCTTCCCTCCATTCTGAATGTTCCAGGAGTAACCCCTATGTGGGCTATGTGTGTCCTTCTGTTGTGGTGGGGTTGCTCTTCCTGTAGATGCCTAGGGAGGCTGAGCTAGGCCCCTGGCCAGCTGTTGTAATGCTCAGCTGCATGTAGTTTTTGTGGGCCCTTCAGTCTCTTTATTGGGTGTGGGCTGTCCCAGCACAGTTGGCTACAAGGTCTAATAGCACATTCATGTTGCTGTATTTCTATTAAGTGAGTAGGCTCCCAGTGTGGCAGGTTGTTAGGCACAGGGGCTTACAATTGCTATAAGCCTTGGGTCTCTTGTCAGCTCTCTGAGGATTGCAGCCAGGTGGGACTGGCCTCAGGCATAGAAGCACCCAATTGTTTCAGGCTTTGGAAGGTGGGGCCCAACCCCCTATGTGGGTCTTTGAGAAGCACAAGTCTTCTGCAGCTGACAAGCCCTGCTGCCCACAGGTCCATGCACACAGTCACGTGTGCATGGGCCCTGACCTCCTGAAGTGGACCCAGTCTCTCTAAGGCAGGAGCCCCACACACTCCACCTCTGCCCCACACTCTCCACCTGCTCCTTGCACACACCCTGCCCCACAGAGATGGACCCAGTTGCCAGGCTGTGGAGAATCCAGGCAGCTCCCTTAGCCAGCCCAGGAGTTGCCCTAGGGTTTGTTGTTGGGTGGGTTCAGTCCCTAGGGTGGGCTGCATGCCCTGGCTGAGCTGGATTAAATTGGTGCTCTAGTGGGTGGGGCAGACCCTGGGCTAGCAGGCCACAGGGCGAACTCCAATGGCATCTGCCAGTGTGTCACAGCACATCCACACCATGTCACAACAATAGCTGCCACCAATGACCCCGTCCCTGGAGAGGTCTCACCTTTCACCAAGATGCACTCAGAGCCTATCAGGTGAGTCTCTTTTCACCAAAGGGCTGTGCACCTTTCTTTCTGGTGATTTTAGGTTTCTTTCTGAAATGGGTGAGTTTGTGCATGGGCCCTTTAAGAGCCGGTTTTAATTTCTTCATGAACCAGCCTTTCTAGGGGTACTCCCCAGTGTTTTAGTAGCAAGCAAAGTCAGATATTATGCCACTCATCTCGATTGTGCTGGGCAAAAACTGCCTATAGCGGGCATGCTCCCCGGCTCAGAGCCCTGCTCCTCCAGGGAAGGCTGCGTACCTTTGGGCTGCTCCCTGGCGGCCTTGAAGCACTGCAGCTTGTGAAAGTCGTGTTTTTCCTCTCCAGAAGGGAATTTCTGCCTCTTCCATCTCAATTTGGATTGTCATTTGTTGCAGGAGTTCCTCTTATCCAGTTTTCAGTTCTGTCTCAGGGGTAAGTTTTCCAAAAGTAGTTGTAAATTGGCTGTGTCCATGGGACGAGGTGAGTTCAGAGGCTGCGTATGCCACCATCTCGACTTCTCTATCCAATTCTTTTTTCTTTTATCTGTTCAGCTTGGGTGATTTCCTCTAGTCTTTCGTCCTGCTCACAGATCCGTTCTTCTGTATCCTCTACTCTGCTTTTGAGTCCCTCTAGTGAATTTTTCATTTCCATTATTGTATTCTTCAATTCTGACTGATTCATTTTTGTATTTTTCAATTCTTTGTTAAGTTCTCACTGTATTCATCTATTCTTTTCCCAGAATTGGTGAGCATCCATATGACTATTAGTTTTTACTTTTTATTAGTTAGATTGTTTACCTCTGTTTCATTTAGTGTCTGAAGGCTGAATTTCACGGATGATGAAACCGGGGTACAGAGAGGTTAAATAACTGGTTCATGGTCACTCCACTATTAAAGAACAAGCTCATGTGAACCCAGACAGTCCAACTCTAGAGTTCATATTCTTCATCACCACTCTATGATAGGGTTTTTTCCTACAAAAGACACTACTATTATCAGAGTTAAAAAAATGGAATTCATTATTATATTAAAGAGATCATTAAATAAAATACCTGGGGCTGTTGAAAGCTGCATGTTGCTTTCAACAGTGTGATTTTGGCAATACTAGCTAAGTCTTTCAAACATATACGTACAATTCTATTTACAGAAGGAATAATTCTGTAAAAGAAAGAACAATTTATCAGAAGATGGAATGTTGTTGGGAAAAGAATCTGTATTTCTCAGGGTACAGGCTACCCTGGTGTAACAAAGGGATTCAGAAACAGAATGGTTCAACAAAGAAGAAAGTATCCTTGGTCATAACCTTGCAGAGTTTAGCTGACTAGGGTTTGTGGATGGCTTGTTCTCACAAAGTAATCCTGGGACCTAGGTTTCTTCTATGTTGTTGATCTATTATCTCCCAAATGTTGTCCTCTTCTGCGTCATTGAAGAGGGTTCATCTAACACTCTGTGCACATTCCAGTGTCAGAGAAAGGTGAGATTTTCACACTGGAAAAACAATTCCCAAATTTTTGTTCATACAGATGGCTTTTAAGGAATAATTCAAATTATTTAATAGATTCAGGACTATTCAGGACACTCATTTCTTCTGATGTGAATATCTTTAAGCAGTTGTACATTTAATTTAATCATCAAAATTATTAGAAAAGAGTTGTTTATAATATTGTATTATTATCCTTTTAATGTACCTACCTGAAAGTTATCTTGTGTAGATAAACTATGTTAATTATAAATCTAAAGACCTTTGAATATTGTCTGGCACGTGGTAAGTGCTTAGCACAAGAAGTTATTACCATTATGTCTATCAGTTATTTGGAAGCAAAGACAGCTGTTCATATTTTTGGCATGATCTGTTGTTGTCTTATATTCATTATTGTATTTATATTAAATAGCATTTTGGTATGGCACCATAAATAAGAAGATTATGTCTTATATTACTTCAGATTATGTTTTACATAAAATATGATATGCACTAATATAACAAGGAAATTACAGGGCAAATGCAAATAGTCTAAATCTTTCATGTTGCCCATAGATTATGTTACTTGTATGTAATAACATTATATACAGGCTGTCTAAACTATGTTATAAAGAGTATAGAGTAGTCTTAATTTAATTAGAATTTAATTTAATTAGAATTTCAGCATTTCCTCAACTTGAGTGTTGTCTCCAAAATCATAGAATTTGTTGACCATTTTTGCCAACACAAACCAACAGGATAAAAATTTCCTAATTATAGAAATAGACATGAATGAAAACAAGGTGAAAACTTAGTTTATAAAAAAGACCAGGAAAATGAAAAGAGCCCATAAATATATGATGACATAATGCTTATACAAGATAAGACGCGAGCCAGAAAAGCATATTATTAAACAATAAATGTTTATCAAATACTTATCAAAAACAAATAACAATAGCTGTAAATATAGAGTCTGGACAACAATGGATATCAAAGCAAAAATAAATCATGGCTTAAAATGCCATTGATACATAAGGAAATTTTTAAAATAAATTAAGTAGAGGAAAATAATGCATATTTTAAAAATTGAATGTTAGTTGACAGTTTTGAATTAGTAAAAATTTTTAAAACTTTTAGCTCCTAAAAGAGAGCTTGCAATTCATTTTAAATGTTTAAAAAATATTTAGGAAAATAATAAAATATAATCTGCAAAGAAAACAATACAAATTTCAAAAAAATAAAAATTTTATAGTTATTATTGCTTGAATGAAAACAATCTATTTAGTTACAAAAGTTTAAAGAATAAAATCAAATACTTGGAAAATGGAGAAACACATTCTTAAATAACCTTTAAATAGTAGAGAAAATTAAAACTGCAATTCTAGATTAAGTAGAGAAAAAATTTAAAAATAAAGGAAATTTTAGCACTCTACCTGACTACAGTTTATAGGTTGCCACAGAATCGGAATTCATTACAGACACTTCTCCAAAGAAGATATACAGATGGCCAATAGGCACATGAAAAGGTGTTCAACATCACTAATCATCAGGGAAATGCAAATCAAAACACACTAAGATATCACCTCATGCCCATTAGAATGGCTATAATCACCAAGACAAACAACAAATGTTGGAGAGGATGTGGAGAAACAGGAATCCTTATACACAGCTGGTGGGAATGCAAACTGGTGCAGCCTCTGTGGAAAATGGTATGGAGATTCCTCAAAGAATTAAAAATAGAAATACCCTATGATCCAGCTATCCCATTACTGGGAATCTATCCAACAAACCTGAAATCAACAATCCAAAGAGGCTTATGTACCCTTATGTTCATTGCAGCATTATTCACTATAGCCAAGAAGTGGAAGCCACCTAAGTGTCCCTCGACTGATGATTGGATCAAGAAGATGTGGTATATATATTCAATGGAATACTACTCAGCCATAAAAAAGACAAAATCGTCCCATTTGCAACAACATGGATGGGCCTGGAGGGTATTACATTAAGTGAAATAAGCCAGAAAGAGAAAGACAAACACTGTAAGATCTCACTCATATGTGGAATATAAACCAACACATGGACAGAGAAAACTGTATTGTGGTTACCAGGGGCAATGGGGGTAGGGGGTGGGCACAAAGGGTGAAGGGAGACATGTATATGGTGATGGACAAACAAAAATGTACAACCCAAAATTTCACAATGTTATAAACTATTAAAACATCAATTAAAAAAATCTGAATTCATTGTTAATTCTTACCTTTATAACTTGTCTCTGTTAAAAATTTTAAAACAAATGAGTCAAGCATCTAATTCAAGAATTTATTTTTAATGACCATAACAAACCTATAGAAATTGGGAGAAAGGCAATGATTTTTTAAAATACACAGAATTTCCACACAGAAACAATTTACTGATGCTTGTTGATACATCACAGACAGGGTTTTAAAATGTTTAGCAAATAACCACCAAAGAGGTATCACTGCGTGAAATTTTTAACTTGAGGAATTTATAATATTTCAGGTCCAAAGCATTGCAATAGGAGAATCTTGATTTTTCCCGTGTACCAAGACCATGTCCATCTCACAGGTTTCAATGACAGATATTATCAAAGGGTAAACTTGTAGGTGTGTACAGAAAGCTGCAAAAATATACACAGAAAACAACAGGAATTTTGCTTATATGTGTAATATATGCACATACATTCATAACTATCAATCTAGAACACATACAAAATTAACAATTATTACAGTATTTTTTCTTAATTTTTAAAATATTACCCAAATTTTCTCCAATGTTAATAAACACCATTCTAAATCCGAAATATGAAGTGCTGTTTTCCCTTAGCTGTTTGTGTATTTGTCAATTAAATTAA